TCCACCCACCCATTCTATTGCTGCCTCCAGGGCACAGGTCTCCGTCTGCTCCGTCCTCTGTGTCCCCAACATCATGGCAGCAGACTGACTTCTGTCGCAGTGCTTCTTTGTGCTCTGATTGGCTGTTTGTCAGCCAGTCAGAGCGTGAATAACTGTTACGGACAAATAGACAGATTTAGGCTTTTATCATATTAGATTATTCCATTTCATGCAAAACAAAGAAATACATTTTGTTAAATTTCAGACCTCAGATGTTTACAGGATATTTTAGATAAGTGATCCAAAGAATATTTTGTTATAAAAATGTGATTGTCATTTTTAAAAAAAAAAATCACAATTCGCCTTTTCTTAATCATTGTGAACTTCAGACAGTTCATGTAACTTTAAGCAGTTCAGTAAACATTGGAAATTTTATTTTCTAATAGTTTCTTTTTCTAAATAATCTGTATTCAATTAGATTGACCTGAATTTTTACTTTAACTGTCATGGCACTACTACACCAATGAAATAGCAGGGATCTTTAGTAATCTGCAGATGACAATCTGACCAGTTTATTTCGAGACTGTAAAGAAGCAGTTCTTTGATAAAGTCAATTGAAGTGTTGAAGTAGTGGTATAGCTGTTAGAGGCGCACCAATACATCAGTCTGATATTGGATCAGTACTGATGTAAAGTAAAATGGCTGTTTTGGATTTTGGCCTGATGGGGCTGATAATTTGGCCAATTTTTTTTCAATGCTTGTGCGGTGTGCAGCTGCAGTGCAGCACTTGGGCATCCAGGAGCAGAGCTGGCAGTGTGGAGAGCTGCCTCCAGCTGGTCAGTTCGGTGGAAGGAGTGGGGGGAAGGGAAGGGATGTGGGGGATGTTAGTTCAACGCCCCCCGCAGTGAGAGAGGGGCAGGTGCTGTTGGGCAGGGTGGGCGTGTGGCAGAGGTGGTTCCCACTGCTGCTTGTACCCCAGGAGGACGGGGGCCATGTGCCCTCTGGATCTGCATGGGGTGGGGCAGGCTGCAGCTGGGGCTGCACGTAGCTCCTTTCAGCAGGGGCTGGGCTCAGAGCAGTTGCCAACGGTGCTGAGAGGATGCTGCATCCACCCACATTTTGCTGCCACTCCACTCCCAGTGCCGCCTTTCTAATCAGTACAAGCCTGAGGAGAATGGTCAGCACAGTGGACTACTATCTGTATCACAGTGGGGGACATACCACACCCTGAAAATTCCCTTCAGGACTGAAGCCCCCCACTCCATTACCACTGAGACCTCCACCCAGACAGAGCCTATGGTTCTGGCCTCCACTTAGACTCTTTGCTGTGGGGGTGGCCTGGCATGACTGAAGGCACCTGGGATCAGGAGCAATGACACCTCCCTTTGTGAGGTTCGCTTTGCATTGAGTGTCTCTGGAGTGCTGTATAAGGGAACTCCAGGCTGCATTGCAGAGGCTGCATGCCATCAGGGATGGCAAAGAGCAGACTGGGCAAAGAGCCTGTCAGTAAGAGTCAAAGAATGAAGAGGGAAGAGCAGGGGTGGGTGGCAGGACAAGGGTGGACAAGAGGAGCTCCCATGAAGTCCAGCCGGGGGTCACTTGGACAAAGGTTGTCTCTGGCCCTGAGGCACACTGCATCAGGGTCTAGAATAATAGATTTGGGCTTCAAACATAGATTTTTAAGACCAGACATACTGAAAATTCAAGGCAATAAGTAGTCTAAAACTGAACTACCCACCTATTTACTAGAATCCAAGATGAGATGTATAGCTCCTCATTTAACATGAGGGGGAAAACCCCTCAACTTGTATTTGAGTACAAGGTGGTAGGCATCAGATAGCTGCTGTTGGCCCTAGAGCTGGGGCTGGTGCTGCCACGCTGTTGCCATTGCCACGCTGTTGCTGCTGCCACCAGACAGGCTGTGTTCTATGCCCCAGGCCGGAACCAAGGCCAGAGCCTGCCAGAGTGGGAGCGGGGTGGTAGGTACGGGGACAGAGTCTCCAGGGAGGGAAGGGGAGGCAAAGTCAGCAGGGGGGTATGGGAGAGCAGGGGCAAGATGTGGGGTTGCAAGAGCCCTCCCAGACCATTCCCCCTTCCACTGCTTCCCCTGCTGACTGCCCACCTGCCACTGCTTTCCCAATAGTAGCAGTGGGGGAGAGGGGGCAAAGCTCAGATAACCCTCCAATTATTCCAACATTCTAAACATGGAAAATTATAACAAATGTATACATTTTTCATGTATAGAATGTAATTGTTGGTCAGTTCATCTTAAATTCAGGGTCATCTTGGATTTGGGTGAAGAGGGTAATTGGTTTTAAATGTGAATAGTTATTGAGGAATATACATCAATGCAGATATTGGGTTTGATATTCAGTGTGAAGTCTAGCTAGCCAAGATAGTGAGTGAACTACCATATTTACTCGAATCCAAGAAAACTTTGAAAATAAGGCAACCCCACAAGTATTAGATTCCTAGACATGGGAAATTATACATCTGTTGTTATTTTGGAGGTTTGTCTTAAACTAATCCCCCCAACCATTGTGCCAGAGAAAGCAGTGGATCTGATCACCTTTCATTCAGGTTAAGAAGTTGCAAAGCTCTTTCTTGAAGAAAGATAGCTAAAAAAAAATGTGAATGACCACCAAAAACAGGTCACATATAAGGCCTGGTAACAATAGATTTGTGTGAATGGAGATTGTTAGGGGCTGAATGTGGGAAGCTCAATTTTGTTTGGTTGTCTGTGTCTCTGGGCAGAAGCAGGCAATAAGAACACAGACAGCTGCAGAGAGAAATTAAGGAAAAAGCAAGAAGAGTACTCTTGGCATGTCTCTGAAAGAAAGTCAAAAGAGAACATGTGCAAAGTTTTGACTGGGAAAAAAATTGGAATTGTTGACAAAAGGAACAGCCTTCTGTTGTTTGTTTGGCTCCTGTGGTGTTCAGGGAAATGGGACTCTTTACATGCATAGTAAGTTAACAGGATTGCATCAAAATACCCTGTCTCCAACATCAGTTTCTTCTCTTAATGGAGACAATCTGAAGAATTTCAAATAGTAGATAAAGGTTCAGGTCAAAAGAGGTAACTATACTGTAGATTAAACACATGATAGTTCCTCATGTTAGAATTCATGGACAAGTTGCTATCTTGCCTTCAGATTTCCTATTTGCCTTTTTTGGGTGGGTTTATGGAATTAACCTTTGAAGTCAGATAGATGGTTTGGGAATTCTCATGAAGATTTTTGATTAATGCTACATTTGAGTCTGAGAGGCAGTTAATATTACTAAGTAACTTTGTAATGTGCATTTTTATTGACAAGTTAAAATATCTGTGAAAAGGAGACTAACTTTATATTAGTGTTTTAAGACTCTGCCTATACTGTGAACTTGTCTATTTCACAAAGTTTTGACAGCAAAGCTGTCTCACCTAGGGAGGTGAAAGGACCATTCCCACCCCACAAGCTGATACTGCTCTCCTGACAAAACTCCCAGTATGGAGATAGGTTTGCTGGCAAGAAGTGTTTTTTGTCTATGTCTATTTCAGAGTGCTGTGTGTGTGTGTGTGTGTGTGTGTGTGTGTGTGTGTGTGTATATATATATATTATGTATGTATGTATGTATGTATGTATGTATGTATGTATGTATAAGGGTTTTAATACATGCTGATTTAACATCTTATTTGGGGTACATCAATAAAAATTTTTTGGGCAGATACTGATGGCTGATTTTTTTTTTTTTTTTAATGGGCCCTATTGGCCGATACCGATTCAATTGCCAATTATGCAGCCAGGCAGCTTGAAGAGCAGCATCTGACTGGTAGTTCTGTTGGGGGAATGAAGGAGCATGGGGGTGGGGTGTAGATCGAGACCCCTGCAGTGAGGGAAGGAGTGGGGCTGGGGTGGGGGCAGGTGGTCCACAACTGGGATGGAGCACGGAACAGAGCTGCAAGCAGCTTGTCTGGAAGAAATGGGAGCTCCTGCTGCTACTCGCACCCTGGTAGGGCGTGGGTGGCAGGCATATGTGTGTGGGGTGATGGTGGGCTGCCGCTTTGGGCTGGGGGCAATCCCAGGCTCTTCCTGGCAGGGGGCTGAGTTGGGCTGCGCACAGAGCAGGCGGTGCTGAGAGGGAGGTTACAGGGAGGAGCTGCAGCCACCCCTAAATACAGGGTGGAACCATTGCCTCCTGCCCTGAGTGTAGCCCAGCCCAGCCTACCTGCTAGGAAGAGCCTGGCGCTACTCCTTGTCCCAGCCCACCCGCACCCTGTACGCAGATCTGGAGGTGCACCCCTCCATCCCCAATGACGTCTTGGGGTGCATGCAGCAGCAGAAGCCGCCATCCCCTCCCTGTGCCCCCTGGACAAGCCGCAGCTCCATCCTGTGCTGTGTCCTGGCTGTGCAGCCCCAGCCCTACTCCCTCCCTCACCAGTGGGGCTTCAGTCTGCTTCCTTCCACCCCTGCCCCAAAAGCCCCCATGCCCCTTTCATCACAACAGACTAACCATCCAGACCCAGCTGTTCTTCGCATTGCCAGGCTGTGCTCCTGGCAGCCTGTGTGCCGCAATGTGGCTGTATGCATCGATGGGACATTTATTCGCAAAATTATCAGCTGCATCAGCCAAAAAAAAGCCTAGTGCTGATACCATCAATTTTCTTGATATCAGTGCTTATCCAATATGGGACCGATGTATTTGTGCACCTCCACATCTTATCTTCTTTTTTTTTCTCAGTGAAAATAGTCCTACAGAATAAAATAAGGTTTGGGTTAGGGATGTAACAGTAGTTTTTTGCATTGCTGTGTAATGTGTCCCAAGTTGGAGGGTTAGTTTGAAATTCCTGGCATGCTATGTTGATGGTATTTAGTCATATCATACAAGTGTCCTAGCTGATCTTTGGAATGGGAAGATAAATTATGATTATATAAACAGTAAAAAATAGCTACCTATTTATTAAGAACTGTGTTAGAGCACAAGAAATTAAAGCTTCAAATACTATTTTTAATTTTCACCTTGGCTAAAGGGAATATTGTCTACCATTAGAAAAGGTAGAAAAAGCAATTGGAAGATGTTTCAGCATTAAATTGCATAAATTTAGATTTGAATTATAAAATAGGAAAAGAGCTGTTTTACATTCTAGGAGAGTTCATTATTGATACATTTGTAGAATCAGTTTATTAAACAGCTTATTCATTTTTAATTTTTTTGTGATGGAAGTTGAGAACTTCCTAATTTTGAAGCTTACATTTTGGACATGAATGATGCACCATTTTAAAAAAATGGTAGTACATTTGTGGAGAAGCTATGAGGTTAATAATCTCACCTTTTAAATTATTTTAAGTTTGATAAGGTGCTTGGAATATGTCTGATAGGCTGGTTCAGTACAGCTGTCAATTGTTTTTGTTAGAAGATCAATCTAAGACCTATTGAATGGTACTATAGATGCAGGAATGTATTTCTGTGTGGCAAGCTGCTGTTTTTTTCTATTGCTATAAGTGTTAAAAATTGTTTTATGAAAGTGGTTTCCTGCTGACTATTCATGTATAGAATCTAATTCTTCATGTATAGAGTCTAATTAGCAAAAGTTTTGTTCACTATTGTAAATGTTTCTTTTGTTTTCAGGTTTTGAAAGTATTTTAGAAGGGCTTTATGGACCAAGGCTACGAAGAGACCTCAGTTTATTTGAAGGTAAATGACCCAGTTTTTAATGCGGTGGGATTATTTATTAGCTCTTCTCTCCAACATTTTCTGAGTGTTTATTGTAATTTGAAATATAAATCTGCAGTTGCAAAAAATTTTTCTCTAATGTATTTTTCCTCACTGCTTTCTCACCTCCTTCATCCTTAAACATAAACAAGATCTTAAATTAATTAAAAGAAATAACCACATCTTCTTTATAGGAGTGACTGTGTACAAATAGTCAGTTTCTACTGGGAGAATCGCTGCTCTCCCAAGAAAAAACACAAGTGTACAGCCCAAGAAAAAACACAAGTGTACAGATGTTCAGGCTTTTTCTCCCAGAACAAAAAAGGCCACTCTGGGATAAAAATAACCCAGGAATAACCAGGATTAAATCATTCCTGGATGAATTTCTCCTGGGAAAGCAAATGTCTTTACTCATTGTCTTCTGAGAGGAGCCACGGCACATTCCTCCAGCATTCCAGGCTGCTTCTCTCCTGCCCCCTGCACTCCCTCCTGCCCCTGGGAGACAGTGTGTTGCTTGAGCTGGACTCCACTGCTCCAGTCAAGCAGGGAGAAGAATACCCTGCCTTCACAGTCGTCATATTGTGCTACAGGGAAATGCAGGCTGACCCTGAAATGTCGGAGTCAGCCAGTCTGAGCCAGATAGACTGACCCGCTGCTGCCATCTGTCATCAGATAGATTGAGGGAGCCTGAAGAGCACCTGTCTGCACAGGATCATTACTGCAAATAAGGATCCTGTCTGCACAGGATCATCTGTGCTCTTCAGGGGCTTAGCATTTGAATGTCTGTTAGGGCATCTCCAGGTAAGTGGTGTTTTTTTTTCCTACCAGGAGAATTCTCCCAGATCATTTGAATGTGTATATGTAACCACTGTGAAATGTCTGGATTAACTAGGCATCATTGGTTGCGTGTACACATTCATTAATGCACAGTAGTTACTGCGCATTTAGTTTAGTACTTAATGAAGCATTAACTAAATGCACAGTAACTAGAATTACTGCACAGTAACACTGGCGAATGACTTTTTAGTGACACTAGTGTGCAGTAGTCTAGTAATACTGGGCAATAGCATATTGGCATCATCGGTGCTGTGATGCACTACTGCAGTGTTATTGGGCTACTCTGCATTAAGCGTCTCATATAGACACGCCCACTAAGTAGCTGGCATGGGAATGGTTTCTTTTTCTATAATATTGGCTAGCTGTTAACTTATTTTTTTTTTAAAGCAGCTTTTAGAAAAGAAAAACAGTTCGTTTTGTTGGCCCTGTTGCTATCAGAATTTCCATATTTTCTCAGAAGGCAGATGCACCTTGTTTTTGGAAGCTGGAATGTAGGGGGGAAAAGGTGTTTTTCCAGAATGGTGTAGATCTGACTTTCAGCATGGCCCCTACATTAAAAAATATAGTTTCCACCTCTCTCTCTGGGACAGCGAGCAAGCAGGGGTGGAGTCCAGTGTTAATTGTATGCTACCCCAAAAGCTGCTCCCAATTAATTAGTAGCTGTGAAAGGGACTGTGTCCTTGCTTGCTTTCTCAGAAAGAAGGGAAGCATAACCATTTTGAATCGTAACTCTTCCATCATTCTGTTCCAGCAAAGAAAATCAGTTTTCCCCACTTAAGACACGCACCATAATTTTGGAGGACTGATTTTTTTGGGAAAATGGTATGTGTGATATGTAAGTTAATATAATCATTAGGAATGAAGACTATGAACATCAGTTTAATTTGCATTTTTTTCCGTCTTAAAACTCTCATTTTTATGCTAGTTTTTCTTTAGTGTCTGTGAATCTCTGTCTTTCAAGTCTTCTTCACTTATGCTGAAATAAGTGCTAACAGTTATGTTTTTCTGTGTTAGTAAGTGATGGTACCTGTTAAAAGTCTCTAAGAAACAGAACATAAGTCTGTGTGAGGTGGTGCTAATTTTATGTCAAAAGGAAAGGCTAATCAATTTTCATAATTTATGAAGAAACTCTACTTTTTTAATACCATTTAAGCCCTCAATTTTTCCAAGTTTTAGCTTAATTTAGGTTTAATTCAATACTATCTACTGTCCTATAAGCAAACAAACCATTTGAAAATGTTGAATTTCCAGGTTATTGCGAACCTTTAAATTCGGGAAAGAAAATAATGAAAAATATGTGTATGTAAGTGGGTTTGAAAGCTGAGCAAGCACTCTGGATGTTAATTGGCTGTTTTAGGCTAATAAGCAGAATGTAGATGATGTTGCATAAGGTTTATAATAATTTACAAAATTATGTGATGGTACTGCTAAACCGGTGTAGGCCTCACGCTTCTGCCCAGCTGCTGCTGGCTCCTGTGCACCCATTCATTCTGTGCCCCTGCCCCAGCCCTGCTGTACAGGCAGGGAGTAGCACGCAGCCCTGACCATGTGCTTGCCTTTGGGGAACGAACTGGTGTTCATTGCGGGGGAAAAGTGCCGCCGCCCCCCCGTTGTAGCTGGTGCCGCAAGCTGCAGCCACTTGCAGTCTGCGCGGATCTGCACTGCCTCTCCACTGTCACCCCAATGGAAAGTAGGCACAGGCAGCCCTGCACAGACTCTGAGCTGCTGCAGCACGGGATGGGGGCTGCTTTTCCCCTGCACTGAACACCAGCTTGTTCCCCAGAAGCTGCTGCTCAGTGCTGCTGGGCAATGTTTGCTGCAGCTGCCCACCCAGAGCCCGTGCTGCGCTAGGCTGTGGTGCGGCAGCTTAACGGCTGCCTCTGTCCTGCCCAGCGTGGCAGCAGTGGCTGTGTGGAGCAGCTGCTGTGCAGCACAGAGGTTCCATACTGTAAGTGGTGGTTAAGCAGCTGCACTACAGCCTAGCACGGTGCATACAAGCTCCAGACAGGTGGCCAAGCAAATACTGCCCAGCAGGAGCCGCTTTCCTCTGCGCTGAGCAGCAGCAGCTGCTGCTGTGACTCAGCCCCCATGAGCAAGCCTGGAGCTGGCGCAGAGCCCAAGCTAGCAGCTGTGGGGAGTTGCAAGCTGATGCTCAGCACGAGGGAAAAGCGCCCTTCTGTCCCATGGCCAGTGCCCCATGCTGCAGCCACTCAGAGTCCTCGTGGGGCTGCCTGTGTCTGCAGTGATGTGGAGGAGAGGCAGGACAGCCCCCATCAGCTCCGAGTGGCTGCAGCATGAGGGGCTGGCCACAGGGAGCGGGGGGACTGCTTTTCCCCTGTGCTGAGCACCAGCATGTTCCCTGCCAGCAAGCATGGGTTTGGGGCTGCGTGCTGATCCCCGCCTGTACTGCAGGGCTGGGGTGGGGGCACAGGAGCTAACAGCAGCCAGGCAGGATCACAGGGCCCATACTGGTGTTCCAGGGCCAGCACTGGTGGTCCCAAAGCAGGGCGGTGGGAGCATGGGGTCCTGGCCAGCAGGGCTCTGTGGAGCTGGGCCAGCTCCACCCTTTCCCTACTGGTGCAGTCCAGCCTGGCTCCACAGACCCCTGCCAGCCTGCACCCCAGGCTCCTACCTCCTCGCCCTGGGCCACTCCAGTACTGGCCGCCGTCGCCCCTTTCCCAACTTTTCCAAATTACCACTAATCAGGACAAAAATACATTTTTAAATTAAATTAAAATATATTATTATGGGTGTTTTTTAGTATGTAATTTGGTTTTTTTCCCCCTAAGATGGTAAACCTTCCCCAAAGGAGTATTTCTAGGGGTAAGGGGAGGGACTTCCAGTGGCAAAGGTCAGATGTTAGGGATGGGACTTCTGGTCCCAAGATGGTGACCAGGGGGAATGGCACTTGTCAAGGGGCAGATGTGGCCCTCGACAGCTTGCCAAAACTCGGTAAACGGCTCTCCGCCCAAAATAATTGCCTACCCCTGGTATAGGGAAATATATACATAGAGGGAGAGAGCCAGCAGAAGGAAGGGAATTAGAACTAACCCTATTATTAAGCTTGTCTAGCTCTTTTTCGTTACAAGGAACTTTTGTGATACTTTCTTTGAGCAAATCTCATTTCCATTGTTTGCGGGGGAGATTTGATGGAAGGATCCCCTTGGATTTTTAGAAGTTCCTTTTCTTTGTCCCATTACATTCCATTCAGATATGGCCAAAGTATAGTGTTAAAAACTTCCTTTCTCTTGCTTGCATTACTCTAGAAAAGTATTGGTAGCATGTCTGAATTGTTGAACAATCTCTGACCATCTTCCCATGAATTCTCTGCCAGGCTTAGTCTACAACTGAAGTGACAGCAACACACACCACACTGAAGAACTTTTACAGCAACTAGCTATATAAATGTTTTATTTATTTATTTATTTATTTATTTATTTATTTATTTTATTTAATTGCAGTAAAATTTTATGGCACCAATTATGGATTATGATCAAATTTCCTAAATATTATACAGACGTACAAAAAATAAGATCATACTTTAATTGGTAAATTGGATAACTAAACGGTACTCAAGCAGAATATAGTATCTAAGTCACAAAAAGTGATCCAGAATAACTGTACTTCAGCAGCCGCAAAACCCCTTAGGTACCTATAGTCATTTGGTTTCTACATCTTAGGCTGTAGAGATGGCACTGAAGTCCCCATGCTAAACAGACGGGTGCTTAAATTCAGTCTAGGATCTAATGTGATTCAAATTGAAGACAGTTTCTAAATTCCTGGCTCTGGGTCTGATCCAGTAGGAATCTTAAGAGTACTACTAGTGAAAATCAAAAACACTGATTTTTAGTACAGAATGCAGTAACTTTCACATGGCTGTGAGTGGATGGTTCCATACTTTACATGATAACCTAGTGTTTCAGGCACTTGAGAGTAGGGATTGGAACCCAGTAGTTTCCCATTCTAGGAGGTCATTACTGGGCTTCAGAGTCAGGCTTTCTGTTGCTTGCTTTCCCCCGCCCCTTTCCTCGCCCACAGACTGACCTCCTGGGCTGGTATGCGCGCATGCATACATACAGGCACTCGGCCCCCCCACCTCAGCCTTGGCTGTATGGATCTATCTTGCTTTTCTGTACAATGGCCCT